TACAATCCAACAGTCTTCACTTCGCAACAATCCTCCTTCGGTTCCCGGTGAACAAATTCACGAATTCCCTCTGATTAACTTTTCCTTAGAAACGGATATTTAAATTCGGCAGAAGTCTTGTTTTTATATTTAACCTCTGATTGACTTTGTTTTCGGTACCTAATTGTGATTTTGATTAGTTATGAATCAAATGCGTCTTCTGCCATTATTATATTTTGCTGACCTCGTAAATAAGTATCACCGACCTATAAACGATCACAATAACTCTGCTATAAATGATTTTGTTCACTGGTGATGCTGGTTTGCACTTAATCAACGATCCGAAAATGGCATAAGGCTAATTACAGTGTTTATTCTTCCAATTTTCGAAAGCCTAGCTAACAGTAACTCTTATTTCTGCTTGTCCATCACCAGCAATTTGGGTTTCTTTTCTTCGTAAGACAAGATATGCAAAATTAGTCACTAGTAATAGTGTACAGACTTTTAGTTACTTGTAAGCCTTAACGAATACATTAGTTTGCCTAATATATTAGCCACATTGAAACTAATGAGAATCGATTCGAAATATTGATAGTTTCTGTCTCATATAGTTCTGAAGATATCTTCCTAATTATTGTTGGAAATTATTTGTTCATTTAGTTTTTGTTTATAAAATCGAAATTCTTTATTGTGGATCAGGACAGTAATTGCACCCTTCTGATTCCTAAAAAAGTTTTTTATTATGTTCACAATATACCTGTTATTAAATCTATTTTGCGCCTTGGCTGGTTCAGACTGTAATTCTTTTACTCTAGGCGAACTTTACGAAATTCGGTCATCGATTTCATTTTAATATTCTTACCTGCATCTATGGAATAGCGACTTTTGCTGACTTAATTAGTTCCATGTTCTCACTTATTTTCATTGATTCCTGTGTCTTAGTTTAAAATATTTTCGAGTGGAATCTGAGATATTTTACTTGTTTTCTTGTTCTGTTTGCTATTATCTGCACATTCCATACGTTCTCATAACTTCGCTTATCTTGCTGTAGTTTCTGCTCTGTTTTCTTAACTTTTATTGCCTTTGCATTAGGCTTCTCATTACAAAACAGAGGAAGCATCATTATTGATTCTTACTAATTCTATTGCTGTTCAAACTTTTCTAAGATATTTCATCTGGCCTCCAGAGGGTTTTTTAAATCTCCATTTTTTTTGGGACATCCGATTATTAATCTCATGACTAATGTCATGACTAATCATGGCATCACTTTTTGGCTCTACCTTTTCTAAATAGTCTAACTTTTTATCAAACTTAAACAAACTGTTCTTCTATTAAGCATTATTTTTCGTGCTATTCTTCTTTCAATCTCTGCTTAAATAGATAAAACCCATCTCTCTCTGTATATGTATACATATATATATATATATATATATGCCATTACGTTACACCTCAGCTTCATGCCATGCCTTCGTTTAATTTGGAATTTCACGTAGCTAAATTTTCGTGTGTATTCATCTTACGTATATTGCTAATTTTATTTGCTTATTATCTAGTTGATTAATTTGTGAACATGACTCATCCCATATTTTAGCAGTAATCGCTACCTGATTTCTATATTCATTATTTTTCCATGATATCATTGCTGGTTCATCTTGTTCTTTACTTCATTCAATCGTAGAGTGCGATTGAATTTTATTACCGCAGTAAATGATGAAGTTGGTTTAACAGTGAATTCAACAGGTATTAAACTCTGTTATCGTTTTATTTATCGATGTTATGGAATATAGCAGTTACCTTTCAAAATTTATAAATCTCGGCCACATGATTGATTAAATATCTAAGTCTATTTTAAAATTATTTAATTTTGATATTATCGCTTCACGGCCATTCTCATCCCAATTTTAATTTGTGGTTTACTTCTACGAAGTCAATTAGTTATTTGCATATTGGTTTAGCTAGTTTAAGCTAATCATTTGATATTGGCCTCCATGAGCTGCACGTAAATTTGCCTCGTACATGTTTATCTATTTTTTTATAAATTGGCATACGTTATAGTTGCGTACCCTTTTGATTCAAAGTTAGTTCTTTTTAAGCTTTGTTTTTTAATTTGCCTTTATCTATTCAAGGACTTCAGTATATTAGAGCTAGACAATCAAATCCAAACTACAAAAGCCATTCAATATGGTTAAGTTACTTTTTATTTTTATAGGATTAAAATGAATCGTATAATTAACTCTAACAAATATCAAAGCCCACAGCTATTTCTTGACTTCTTAGTCTGATTTTATGAGCCTTATTTTAACCCTTTTGAGGCAGGCTTAGCAATAAACCATGAGGGAAGTGAATGAAGGTTTGTCTCTTCCATTTTATACAGCCTCTTATTTTTATACACGACGGGCCAACAATAAGGCAATGCGGAATTAATTTTTCTTTTGCTCTATATTTATTCACCATTTTTTGATACAATTATTCTTATCTTTTCTTTTTCACGTTCCTATTCATTTTCAAACCAGGCACTGATGAGTGATAAATGGATCAATTTTGGATTTGAACCCGACCCATTGGTACCATATGTCGAACCAGGTCGTAGCCAACTTGATGAAGTGCGTGTTACGGCTATGATGGCAATGGGCTTCCGGCGTGAGGAACTTGAGTCTTCGGTTGTGTTGCCTGAGTTCGACCATATATATGCCACCTACAATCTTCTCCCTGCTGCTCCGTCTGAGTTTGCAGAGTAAGTTACTGATCTAGTTTGTCCACTCTAAGCATTATTTTAGACTTAATCTTGTTTTGTGTTGGTTTTACCTCCTTTTCTTAACTTATTCTGAGCGACACGGAGACCTTGTTGAACATACCTAGTTCTATGTCCTCTGCAATAATATTCATGTTGATTTGCATTATCGGACATTGTTTCCGACGTTGTAGTCGGTATCGCCGTTGAAATGCGCCATATTAGTACAGGGTTCCAATTTATCAAAGTTGCATGTAAAGTAACTCCCCTTGGCCAATTTTAGGTTAAACA